CACACACACACACACACACACACACACACACACACACACACACACACACACACACACCCCACGCGCACGCGCACGCGCACGCGCACGCGCACGCGCACGCACACGCGCACGCACACGCACACGCACTTCTGCCTTACCTGCCTTACTCACGCCTGCGCCTCACGCACACTACACTGCATGCATGCACGTACATGCATGCATGCATGCACGTGCACACATGCGTGGCATTAAGCCCATGCGCCGCGCCACTCCACGCAGCGCCGCGCGCACGCGCCCTGGCATTGATACGGGACCACCATACCCCAGGCGCTCTGGCACTCGCGCTGCGCCGTGCTTCGCGCAAGCGCCTGCTACTGGCGCGCAGCGCCTGCTGCGCCTCAGCAATGCTGCGCCGTACCTGCACGCATGCACACACCCACCCACCCATGCACGCACTCACGCACCCACCACGCGCAATCACGCACACGCACACGCACACACGTAAACGCGCGCACACACGCACACACGTGGACACACAAGCACACACACACACACACACGCCCACACGCCCACACGCCCACACGCTCACACGCACGCGCACGCGCACGCATGCGCGCACGCACCCGCCACGCGCAATCACGCACACGCACACGCACACACGTAAACGCGCGCACACGCACACACACGCAGACACACAAGCACACACACACACACAGACGCCCACACGCCCACACGCCCACACGCCCACACGCACACGCACACGCACACGCGCACGCACTTGCCCACGCGCACGCGCGCGCACGCGCAAACACGCGCCCGCACGCGCGCAAGACGTTGTAGACACACCCACACCACGCCCACAGACACAAACACACACACCCACGGATACATACAAACACACACATACACCCACACCCACACCCACGCGCGCACGCACGCACGCACCACCACACACACACACACACACACACACACACACACACACACACACACACACACACACACACACACACACACACACACACACACACACACACACACACACACACACACACACACACACACACACACACACACACACACACACACACACACACACACACACACACACACACACACACACACACACACACACACACACACACACACACACACACACACACACACACACACACACACACACACACACACACACACACACACCACACACACACACACACACACACACACACACACACACACACACACACACACACACACACACACACACACACACACACACGCACACGCACACGCACACGCACACGCCACACACGCACGCACGCAGACACGCACACGCACACGCACACGCACACGCACGCATGCACATCGCACACAGACGCCGCGCGGTGATCAGATATCAGGGTGCGGACATCAATTTGTCAAATGTAAGGTCAAGCCTGGGGGCGAGTTCATGCAGCTGCTTGCTGCCTCGTTTCCGACTAGCAAATCAGTGTGTTACGAGAGAAGCTGAGCTGCAACTATTCGGGTATGTGAAATTTAGGACCCTGGCTTGACAGTTAAGACGGGGAAGGGAAAGTCAAGAACGTGGGAGGGAAACAAGCTTGGACAAACGGCGTGCCATGTTGACAGATGTTCGGTGCATGACTGCAAGACGTGGGCACCTCGAGGCATGCTGCATGGCTGGATGACGCGCGGAGTTGGTGATCCCGTGCTACCGCAAAAGGCAGGTGTCGAGACAATAAGAGAAGCCCACGCATCAGCACTGAAGCTGGCAGTGGACTTTTTTATGCAGCACGCTCAGCACGCGTCGCCCGTTCCAGCTTCCTCAGTTTCCTGATAGGAAAGCGTAGTTTTGCGAGTTTGACTCCTCGAGCTGGATCGATTGAGACCTCAAAAACATCAGGCAAAAGAAGCGCTTGTTCGGCGGGACTTGCTGAACGCTTGATGGCCACTGCTTTTGTTGTAGCTTGCGTTGAGACGAAGTTGCAAGGTGACAACATCCAGACGTAGCTGCCAGAGAGGCAGCGTGGGAATTGTCCTGGGCCAGGGCTTGCCTCATAATAGTTTCCGCAGGTCTCAGCTTGGGGTTTGGCCTGTTTGCATTTTGAAGAGCAACATTTGGAGACTGGAAACCCCAAGCGACCTGCCAATCTTAAGGCTAAAAGAGGCCTTTTGTCTGTCTCCTCGTGAGAAGTGCCAGGAGACTCCCCGTTCTGCTTAGAGTAGTCGGGCAATGCAACAGAGTGGCAAATATGCAAGTCCGTCTCACCGGACCTGCCATCTAGCATCCTAGAAGCAGACATTCCTTGGCAAATGAAGCCAAGCAAGCATTCAAATATTTGTGTGCAACATCAAATCTCTCGGATTGTCAGACTCTGCAATCAAGGCGCTCCCCAAAAGGTTAGAGCGATTCGGAGCGTCAGCTCCCTATCGAGCCGAGCAAGGCCGCATCCTTGCAACCGTGCAAGGCATGGACTCGGGCAGCCCAATGCTTGGTTGCCGCGAACTGATGTTATTTTGCCTGGCTGATTACTGGGTGGGCGTGGGGAAAGAGCTTCCTTTTTTTACTACCCGTCTAGGAGCCCTTCCCCCATTCCCAAGAATCACCAGGTCAAATCAAGAATCGACACAGTAGCTTTAGGACAAGAATTCTATGTCGTACCAGCATGGGCACTGGCAACCCGTGCAGAAAAAGGCCATTGCAGAACGTTGCGCGGAGGCCTTCGTCCTCACGAGAGTGTTCGGCATGATGTCCGGTGATTTTTCTTGGCGATTTTTCTGTGTCCGCCACTTCCCGCTCAAGTTTGCGAGCTTGCGCCACGCAGCTTCTGGCGCGGGATTGGCCCATGGAGCCGCAGCTTCTGCTGGATGCCTGCGAGCGAGGGGACGCCTGTGGCGTCCAAGCCGCGCTGTTGCAAGGCGCGAAGCCGGGGATGTCTGGGACGTTGGGGTGCGCCCCGCTGCACCTTGCGGTCACGGTGAGCGGGTGGGACCCGCCGGCGTCGGTGAAGATTGCCAGCATTCTGATCAATGCCAGGGCCTGCATAGACGCGCGCGACGGCAGGTCCAATACCCCGCTGCACTACTGTGCGATGTACAGCCAGGGTGGGGTTTGGCCAGGCCGCCTACTCCTGGCCTTAGGTGCTGACCCCATGCTGTGTAACGGGGACGGACAGAAGCCTTCTGATGTCGTAGTGCTGAACCCGGTCGGCTGCAAAGCAGCGGACGACTTTTATGTTATGTGCAAGTGCCGTGAGAGCCAGATCCTTGAAGAGGCTGGCGTGGCACGGCACACACGTCATCTTCCTGCTAGAGCAGCGCCAAGCACAAATCTTTGGCGCTTATATTGACTCCTTACTGTCAGCTTTAAACTCAACAACGTGCCTATGGGCATTGCAGCGTGGACCTACGCATCTCAGAAAAACCTGGGCTCCCTGCAGCAGAAGATCGCAGTCAAATTGCCTCCAGACAGGGATGATTAGGATCTCTACAACTCACACTGCGTAGTTGGCATGGAATCTATTGAACTCTGAGAGCAAAAAGCCTGATTTTGCGGCTTGGGAGACGGCTGTAGCTGATATTGGCACTGCGAGCGCCAATGAACTTGAGGAGCTCAGCTTCAAGCCGGCATGGCTGCAGTCAGGCTTGCCATTCTCCCGCACCTTGGGCAGAGTTTGTTTAGCCTGGTTTTCGTTTATATTCTGGTGGAACTCCTCTTGTGCAGCGGAAGCTCCGTGCAAGCAAACCTAGTCGGGGGTAGGATCGCTTAGGCGTCTAGGCCGTTTCAACAAGATTTTGTGTAGGCAGGGTCGCGCATGTTTTACAGTCCAAACAATATCTCGCGAAACTGCGTGTGGGCGCGCCGAAGACACCCTTCCACGTGTTTGCACACCCGCAGAGGCATCCACCTTGGCATGCCTCCAGTACATGTTTGTGTATATATATATATATATATATATGTGGTGTCGTGACGAGTGATTACGGTCCCCCCCCTCCCCACCCCGCCATGGAATGGGGGGGGTCATTCAAAAACGGCCTTATAGGCAAATCAACCCTCGTTTGCTGGCAGGGCCGTCATTTTGGAGCTCAAGTTGCCTAATCGACCCTCTACGGCCCTTCGCGTGATCCTCTCGCTGTGGCGCGGTGCTCATGGTCTTGCCCTAAACCGTTGCCGAGCCAATGGGATTTGCTCTCAAATACTTCTCACCCCGCACTCCCGCGCAACTCTGCCTTCTCAGCTCCGAAAACTCCTATTAAAAACTCTGCTGCCGGACCTTTGTTCCTCCAGATCCAAGCTCGGGTGACCCTTAACACTTGTTTCTACAATCACTTTATGAACCCCAAAGAAAAGAACGTCTAGATTGGGTTCCCCGAAAATGCACCTGACGCTTGCAATAGAAGTCACCCACCATGATTCCACAGGGACAGATTCCCGATAGTTGCAAGTGAAATTACCCACCATGATTCCACAGGGGAGGGTCAACAACAGGTTGGGTTCCCCGGAAGTGTACCCGAGGCTTGCAACAGAAGTCACCCACGATGATTCCACAGGGGAGGGGCGGGACAGAAGTCAACAACCCGTTGGGTTCCCCGGAGTACCCGATGCTTGCAACAGAAATCACCCACCGCGATTCCGCGGGTGGGGTGGGGACATGGTTTTTATCAGAACCCCTGAACCCTTGCCCCTTCTTCCCGGAGGGGGACCCGGGGACCATGGACACTGGACGATATATATATATATATATGTACATATATATATATATGTATATATATATATGTTTATATATATATATGTATATATGTGTATATATATATATATTCAGCCAAAAAGCATTACCCAGCTGAGATGCTACTACGTTGTGCTACAGTCCACTGTGACAGGGAGTGCAATGAACATGCGCAACCAGCGCGCAAGGATTAAGGTGATGCTGACAACATGTGTTGTTTCGGAGTTTGGTGGCCTGCACCTCGCAGGGAACTCGTAGCACTTTTAGCTTTTGGGGATTAGGCCAAGCTTTCACTGTGGTGAGACAGGTGCTTGGTCAAAGTGCGCCTACCGAGGCCACATCTTGCTCGTGTCGGACGAGGTGCTGTCAGCCGCTCCGACACTTCATGCGGTGCTGGAGCATTTGGCAGAGGATACAGCCTGAGCTTTCTATTCTGGAGAGCAATGCATGCATTTGCAAAGGAAGGCTTCCCTTCAGATGCAAGGTAGGCTTATGCATTGATCCGTATCTGCCACAAGTGTTTTTGCTGATACGGACTGGGCTCCTTTTGAATGATACGTTTTGTTGCAATCACAATGGTTGTTGGAGTATTTCGCCCGTTTGGAACACCCTTTTCCACCACATCTTCCAGCTGTCCTCCTGGTCCAGAGGGGCCAGGGATCGGCATGCCGACACCCGACAGAAACAGTGAAACATGCAATGATTCAGGTTTTCAATTTGCAGCCTGCCGGCTCCTTAGCAAGGAGCATCTTTCTGACCCACAACCTGTGGCACCTGCATGAAGCTGCTGACCCCGGAATTCTGTTTTTTGTTGATTGGAAGAGATGAGGGTCCACCTGCGGCTGAGGCACGCTGTATGGTGAACTTGTGCTCCAGTTTTTGTTATTTTTCCCCGCCCCGCTACAAGTTGAGAGACGATTGCGGTTGTTGGAACTTTGAACCGGTGCAAACTTTTGAGACACTCTTTGTCACTGTCAATAGAATCAGGGCCTGAGAGTTGCTGCCCCACTTAGCTTCGTCAGAGCCAGGTACAGACATGGGGGTGACTTCTGCAACCTCCACTCAGACGAGCACCACCCACGCATTTCTGAACATGGCTTGGCGATTGCTAGGCAATGCCTTCGCCATGCAGGTACGAGGCTGACAGCGAGATAAACTTCAGCGTTGCCATCACATTTGGGGAGGCTTGCCACCAGTTTGACAGCGGACACACAGAACTAGGAAACAAACTGGCAGACCTTCAATGTGTTAGGAGCGGCAGCTGTTCTTTGAAGAGAAGGGAGGCCAGCAGGCATGTCGCTTGCTGAGTTTGCATCTATGTACCTCAACGTGTTTTTGTCTCTTGATCGCAATCGAAGCTAAACTGTGTGGAAATGCGATTGGCCAAGCCACGCATGTTGCAGCTGGTAGGCGCAATTCGCGCTGCCTCAGAAGAACGGCGATGTCCACGCCTTTGGCAAGGCTGTGCTTTGGCTTGCGGCTGACACGTGATGCAGGGAGACGCTCGGATTTGTATCGGGTTCCTTGTGCCGGTTTTCTATCAGATATGGTACAGTGCCACGTCGTACGCCTGCGGCACCCGTTGCAATGTCACCTGAATTCCACCGGCCTCGAGCCTCGGACCGCGTACCCACAGGCCTGGGCTCGCGCCTGGAAGCACGGCGCGCGGCTCTTGACGGCCAGTCTGGGCGGGTCGGTCAGTTGTCCCGGTCCTTTGCTACCAACGGTGTCGGGTTGGCAACGTGCAATCTGAGGTGCCGCCATCAGCGGATGCTGATGACCCCAGCATCAGCATCCTCCTATGGGGCAGTCGAGGAGCGCTCAATGACTGAGCTCCGATACAGCCCTGTGCATTTTTGCTCGATTTGGCTGGAAGCTGGACTGCTTGAAGTGTGGCAGATAGACAGAATCCCCAGATGTTGCCGTAGGGCAAGAAGAAATCGCTGTGGTAAATGGCTGATTAATGACAAGTCGAGCGTCATTCTAAAGCCCGTGTTGTATATTTTATGATTGACGTTCGCCTTTTCTTGCCGGTTTGCTTGGGGGTTGAACCGCGGAAGCTACAGATGCAACGTTGCAGCTCGGAAGCTCTGCGGACTCTTTGCGGAAGCTCACTGGAAGCCTTTTGACGATCTCAGGGATTGCGCAGGCTAGCATGAAGTGCTTATGGCGCTAATGCCTAATGCACGCAGAATTTGTACCCTGGCGACCGCGAGCGATGCATGTATGCTCAGTGCCTGCTCTTCACGCACGCTCCTGTTTGTACCCCGGCGCTCGTGCTCCTGCCTCATGCGTGCGGAAACACGGCATAATTCCAACAGTGAAGCAGGCCAGGAGAAGAATTTAAGAAACACCCTCCAAGCATCAGAAATGTCATTTGCTTTTTTGCAATGCAGCTTTTTGTTGCTGGAAAAAATGTTGCCCGCTCTCAGGAAGAGTTTCAGCAGCTCGCTCGGCAGGTCTGGAGGTGGAGCTGCCGATATCTCTCAAAGGCCTGTGGCTCTCGCTTGGATGTGACATGCAAGCACAGGGCCTGATCAAATCAACTGCCGCTGTTCTGGCAGATGAGTCAAGAAGAGACGGCTGAAAACCTGTTGAACCAGAGCCCACCCAGAGCTGACATGTGGATTTTTCCTCTTGCCAGGTGGAGATAGCTTTCCCCAGATTCTCTTTCATGACCCGGATGCAGGGACCGAGCCGCGACAGTGTGAGGCGCGTCTGGGCAGAGTGACCTGGCAAGCCAGCCAGACAAGGTAGCCGCTCTCAGGGTTCTTGCAAAACATGATGGCCAACACTGTCTCCGCGCGAGAATGAAAAGCCGCTTCAAACGTTGGTCGGATGCTGCCCTCTTCACTGAAGTCTGGTGCTCCCGATAAGTTTTCGATATGGGCGCCTGGCCGGCAGAACAAGACTTGTGGGTGTCACAGGACTTGTGGTTCATGGAAGTGCCCGTTTTACTCGCATGCCCAGCAACTGAACGGGTAACTTAGCCGCCTGATGGCCGGGGCTGCTGGAGAGTTGTTTGAACATTCAGAGGCCTGCCATCGCATGGCCGAGCCCAGTGGTTGGGCGCTGAGACTTGTGCAGGCTTGTCAGCTGGTTTGTTGACACTCATTCAGCTTGCCATGTGGGTGAGTGCGAGAGTGCTAGGAATGTCCACTGTTCGAAGCGTCGGGTCAACGTCCTTGTGCTAGACGATTGATTGCCAGATCCTTCAGGCGGTCAGAAAGATTTGGATGGTTGCTGGAGCTGCCGAAAGTGCGTGACACGACAGGCCGGCGGGCATTGAGTCGACTTGCAAGCCACGTGCCAATCGAAGAGGATTACTTCGGGCAGAGCACTGTTTGAATCGGAGCTTCCCGCGCAGAGAAGCTTCAACAGTTCTTCAGTATTTTCCTCGGTCAGAGTCGGACGTCTGGCAAGGTCCCGGAAAGACCTCTCTACAATTCCTCACAGTTTGTTTGAAACAGTTTGTCTGTCCAGCGAAGTGTTTGGTGGCTGCCATTGGTGGTTGCCACAAGAGAACCGACATCAAACAGCTCTGGTCTTGCAGATTTGGGCGCGCAGCATTGCAAAGCCACGACTTGAGCCACAGTCAAAACCCGGGTCAGTGAAGATTAGTAAGGGACCATCCCAACCATAAATAGCTGCGCCCACCTTCTGAATTCTTTACATGGTTCTGGGTAGACCATTTTTTAGACCGGGCTTTGACTGCGACTCACTTGAAGTTGAGGAGGCACAGTTCTGAAACGCGGTGCTAGGAGTTGCTGGGATGGCGCCCGCGGGCAGCAAGCGGCCCCCAGGAGGCAGTCAGCGAGGTTTCAGAGTCGCAGATAACATCACAAGCAATTTTCCACATTCACGGTGTTTGCCTTTCATTTTTGGGGAAGCCGGTCTCGTAGGGGGACCACTTTCAGGATGGTTGCTTGCAGCTGTCAGCATAGAGGGTTGTTCAACAGGGGCGGGCTTATCGTTGACCCTTTTGCAGCCCCCCTGAAAAGTTTTGAAGCCTCGTGGAAGGATCAGGTAAAGCTCTGTTTTGTGCACTGAGACTTCTGCTTGTTGGGAGACGGTTCCTGCTCAAGAGACACTCGTGGCTCTCTTGGGCCCGATTTCTGTCAGGTAACAGACTGCCTTACGGTGGCCTCGGCACAGCTGGCGTTGGCCTTGCTCGTGGGGCGGCGGAGCCATCTAAGCCGCCGGGCAGCTTTTCCGAATGGCTGGCGCCTTGGCAAGCTTCGACGTTTCGCCATTGGTCAGTCCTTTACCAAACAGCTCCGTTGCATGTCTGGGTGCCGTGCGAACATGCATCAGGTACGGGCTGCATGTTGCGAAGGGGGCAGATGAACAGCTGGCAGACTGGCCTACTGTGCCGGCAGAGCAGGATTTGCCGCACCAGGCAGTGGTGGGTCTGCTCGAGGTGTGTGCGGAGGGAAGCGACTGGCCACGCAAGTACCGCATCATCAAGACTATGGCTCTCAAGGAGAGACAGACCCAAGAGTATTCTCTGGATGTGAGAAAGTGTTGGACAGTTTGAGCATAGAATGTCTTGGCATGATCGCAAATCAAGCCGTTCGGATTCGACTGCCACAAGGTGGGCTCACGCGAGTTTGAAAAGGAGCAGCGACATAGATTCTGAGATCCAGGCTTCTCATATCTCAGGATGTACAACATGACGTATCAGCTAAGCAAGAACTCGCCTTGCACTACAATTGGTCGTCGGTTGCCCCGCCCCCAAACACATCTGTTGAGAGGCACATACTTATTTGTGGAAGCAGGCGGGTATGTTGCGTAGGCTGACATCCACTGAACATAGCATATCCCACTACTCGCAGTATTGGATGTTTTCAAATGTCAATAGGGGCCAGCACGTCGCCAATGCTTTCCAGAAGTAAAATTTGTCTCACGAACCAGCAGTTCTCGCAGTTCTTGGGCTGGCAACCGCAGGACTCGCTGCCCGGCCGCTCCCCGGGCATGCCGCAGGCGCCGTGGCGCCTGAGCCCCGCTTTGCGGCGCCGTGCGCTGGAGCTGCAAACCGCCAAAGTCTTTGAGCGCTTCGGCACGCGAACGTGGCGGTTGCTGGTGGCCGGGCAAATGGTTGTGAAAGGACACGAGTTGAAGCTGTTTTTTTGGTATGCCACGGTATACCAGGTAAGAGGAATCTACACATTTGGCATTGAGGGCTCTTAGAAAGCGGGAAGTGTGGCTGCTGGCTTGCGTGACTCTTTTTGACTTGCTTTGACTCTGAATCATTTGATATGCGTGATGTTTACTCCTCACTTGTGCTGAGACAATGTTTGGTCGGTGCCGCGGCCCAGGAACCCTCAGCACATTGCAGATGGCGAGAGTTCTACTCAGTCACGAGCTTAGCACGAGTTGACCACGGCAAGAGAGGGATGCCCCAGCGAGGGCTGTCTCTGAGGTCATGGTGGAATTGGGATGACTGGTCAGGAGGAATGTTTGGGCATGCGTGGGAAGTGCATTGGATGGCATCCCACATGCACTCACCTAGCAGCAGGGTTGTGGGACTGAGGGGTTTTGTTCCCTTTTGTGCTACCCGGGTTTTGCCCTGGCCCAGAATGGTCACCCGCCGACGAGTAAGGCAGAAGGACGCAGTTTCCCTGCCCTGACGCAGGATGGACGCCTTGGAGCTGGAGCACCTGGGGCGAGGACCTGACTTTCTAGCCAGATTCGGTCAGAGGATTGGACATGGTTGGGACATGGCCAGATTTGGTGGGATAAAAGTCGGGGTTCCACTTACTTCTTCTATTCGAGAGATACAGTAGCCACATTGATCCAGTTTGCCATGGATCTGGTCGGTGCAGTTCAGGCTACCGCACAAATTGCCTTGTGGCAGTTCGACTTTGGATTACCGACTGGATTGCATTCTGTTGCCATTCGTTTCAAGTTTGGAGATGACAGGCGGAGTCATTGCCATAATTTTAGTTTGCGGATGTTGGCATTGTACTCCTCCCACACGGTCTACGGCTTCGGGCAGCTTACAGATGGCTTGTTTGCTCGTTCCCAGCATGCAAAGCTATGGCCTTTCAGAATGGGGCATACCTCGTAGCCCCGCCGGGTGAATCCGCGCAACCCGCAGCCGCTGTTTGCTCCGGGGTTCCTCCACGTCCAGCTCCATTTCAGGCCAAGTTCGCTGAAGGCGAGGCTGATGGCCTTTGCCTTTGAGTTGCATTTGCCAGGCTACCTTGGGATTGACCAGAACTCGCGGCAAGAAAGCAAGCTATCAAACCATGCCGTTGACTACAAATGATATGATGCTTTGCATTGAGCAGGCGCTGGTTGCCGCTGAATGCCAACTTAAATAAACAAGTCTGGAATGAACCCCTGCGCTGCGGAATGCTTCTCAAAGTGTCAATACCGAGGCAGTTGGATTTTGCCCAATTTGAGTTGTGCATCATTCCCTCCTGCCGGAGAGCGTGCCTCGAACGAGCCGCCAGTCATGGCCCGCCAGAGCACCCTCGGCCGAGCCCTGCTGCTGCTGGGCGCTTGTGCCCTGCTGAAGTGCGAAGCTGAGACGGCGCGCATTGCTCTTGCAGTTTGGTGCGAATGCATGTTGCAGGCTGCAATAGTCCCTATTTGGCGGACCTCTGGATGTGTTTGACTCGTTTTTGTTTTTGAAGAGTGCTGTTGTTTGTGCTTTGTTCATATTGCCGCGTGTTCAAATATGCACCTGCTCACTTCCGTTGGTGCCGGCCAGAAATACGGTGCGGCCACCCTTTTGTGTCTTTACTTCGTTTTGGGTAGACTTCTCAGGTTTTGATTGCTCATGAGGTCCCTCTTCGCCGGCTCCGAGACCTTCGTGGGCCAGAGGACCACAGGAGCCTTGGAACCCTGGAGTGATGTTTTTTTTTTTTTTTTTCTGGCAAAGCTTTGATGGAGCGAAGTGCAAGTCGCCGAACCACATGAATTGAGGCAGCGTGTTCGGGAGGGGGAAGGGTGGTAGCCATAACAATATACGCAGGAGAGTACATTTCTGAATCGAGGGTCGTTTTCAGCTGCCAGCATTTTGGGCTAGCACCTCCAGAGAAAGCAAGAGGAATCATGGGCTGCAGAAAAGTGGCTGATGGAGCATGGGTTACATGTGGCAGAATGGCCCAAAAGGTCCTTGTATTGAGAGATGAAAGGATGGCCGTTTGGTCCTATGTGTTGCCCCGCAAAAGCTCCGCGATGGACCTTTGGCGGACGTTTGCTTTCTTTTTAATAGCCCCACGAAAGTTTTGCGATGGAGGTCTCGAAACTTATTTTGCTTCTTCGTGAAGACGGCATTTCCCGCAACAAGGAATTTGCGTAGAGTTTTCTATTTCCTTGTGATTCTTGTGTAGACTCTTGAACGCCATCACAATGCGGCAATCAGAAGTCCAGAGCTGTGTTGGAACCTTGCAAGTCCGTTCCCGCAATTGGGGTGTATACTCCCCGTGTGGCGCCCATACAGCGGGGGGCGTGGTTTGCGGGTAGCGGACCTCCATTGTTTCTTTTGGAACTTTGTTTGAGTGACGCCACAACACTTCCAACTTTTGAACAGACATCGCGCGCAGAGGGAGGTTGAGGTTGGAGAGCCGCTCCGTCTTGGTGGGAGGACCTCAGTGCCGCATTACTGTGGCACGAAGGGCCGGGACCTCAGTTGTCAGATCTCCACCCATCACAAGAGGGGTTCAGTACATTTCATTACCCCTTCCTCGAGACTCATATCTGCGTTGAAAGTGCCAAACGTGCGCTGCCCCAGCGTCAGGCTGCGGAGGGTGACTCCCTGCCATCCGTCGACCTGGACGAGGGCAAGCACGGGCTCCCAGCATTGGATGGGCTTCTGCTTCTTCTCCATAGAATCCATCGTTAGTCCACGGGCAGGTCCCCACTTTGTGCCATCCCGAGAATGTGCCCGTGCTTTCACCTGCCTCAGCTATGGAGTGCAATGGCTGCTGCTTGCACCAATTCAAGTGGTTTTGAGCGGCGGAGAATGTAAAATCCTAAGTTGGCCACAGTCGATTCCTGCCTCCATGGCCATCTGATTTCGCTACAAGGCCTGGAGAGACTGTGAACGTGGCAGAGCTGTTCAAAGGCCTGCGCCCCGGTACTTTTCCCTTGTGGGACCTGCATCCCAACTCGCTCTCAGACCAATCTCTAGACCATGAACTCATTGACAGGTGCATGGCTTGCACATGGTCAACGTAAAGATCCATGAGGTGGCAACAGGTTGTTTGCAGTGTGTGTGTGTGTTTATCCCTGAAAAGCTTCCATTCCACCCTTTCCCATTGGCACTTGAACAAATACCAGATATTCGACCCTGAAACACAAGACACTGCCAGAACAAAGCGCGGCAGGCAAGAAGGGCGTGCTCTTTGCAGTGCCTGGAGCCTTCACGTGCCCGGCTTGGCATTGACCGGGTTCTTTTTGCTCATTGGCCGCTTCACATTGCCGCAGAAATTTGTGCACTGCCAGTCGCTTCACTCAATTACAAAGAAGAGCTTCTTTGAGAGGCCCACGTGCTCCGAGAAGCACCTGCTGCAGCCCAAGGGGCAGAGGGTTCAATCAAGGCGGTGGTTTTTGCAGGCAACATACATACCGACCTATGCTATTAAGAGTACATCTCGAATGTGCAACCTTGTCTCCTTTGACTATGGAGCCTTCTTTGAACTTTTGGTCGGGGCCGAGTCCAGTTGAAATCGCTACTGGAACATTGTCACGGGGCAGTGGGAAGCTTGAGAGTGCATCTCAGGCCGGGCTACATCGATCAGGCGGATGAGCTGAAGGCCGCTGGCGCCGAGGCGGTCCCGGGGGGAAGGGGGTGGGGCTAGACCGGCGCCTTCGTGCCCTGTCTGCGCAGGTGGTGGCATGCGTCTCCGTTAACGATGCCTTCGTGATGAGCGCTTGGGGCAAGCAGCAGAAGGCGCAGCTCTGTCATGAGAGAACTTGATGACAGCTTGACAGCTTGAAGTCGCCCCTCCAGAGTTTGACACGTTGTGTAGCGCACACAAATTCAACGATTTCAGTTGACTGCTTGGTCTGCCCGCGTTTCAGAGCAGCGGCGTGAGCCGAGTGGGTTGCGGAGGCTGAGGGCAAGGTGCGGATGCTGGCAGATGCCAAGTGCGAGCTTACCAAGGCGGAGCGACATTCGCAAGCCACTCATGTTGGTGCCCCCCTGATACCTACATACGTATATGCATGCATACATACATACACACACACACGCATACATACATACATACATACATACATACATACATACATACATACATACATACATACATACATACATACATACATACATACATACATACATACATACATACATACATACATACATACATACATACATACATACATACATACATACATACATACATACATACATACATACATACATACATACATACATACATACATACATACATACATACACATACACACATACACACATATACACATACACACATACACACATACATACATTACATTACATTGCATTACATTGCATTACAACATTGCATTACATTGCATTCCATTGCATCACATTACATTACATTACATTACATTGCATTACATTACATTACATACATACATTACATACATACATTACATACATACATTACATACATACATTACATACATTACATACATACATACCTACCTACCTACCTACGTACCTACCTACCTACGTACCTACCTATCTACGTACCTACCTACCTACCTACCTACCTACCTACGTACCTGCATGCCTACATACCTACATGCATACAGAGGGACAGACATACATACACGCATACACGCATGTGCACATACCTGCCTGAGGCAGGCAGGCACGCATGCGTAGACCAGATATAGACACATTTCTCCCCCTCTCTCTCTCTCTCTCTCTATACTTTAGAGCCTCCTGCCCAGTCCGCCGACTTTGCACCCTGCGCTTCCTGTTCCCTGCATGTCCTTGCATTTCCCTGCACTTCACCGTCATTTCCCCTCCTTCACGTCCCCTGCATTTTCCCTGCATATCCCTTGCAGTTCCCCTTCATTTCCCTTCATTTCCCTTCATTTCCCCCGAATTGTGCCGTCGGTTGACCCTTCGTTCCCGTTCGTCCAAAAGCGGTGTTTTTCAGCCCCAAGAATACTGACAAAAAAAACACGGTAGTTTTCAACGTTTTCGCCAGAAGGCGGTCGCAAAAAAACTCTGTTTTCATTGTTGTCAGCAAGAGCAAGAAGAGGCGGAAAGGCCGTGTTCCCCCCCCCCCCCCCCAAAACCCTACGCAATTGACGTGTCTCGGGGGGATTGCGGGGAGGTTTATCCTCTATCCTCTCTTTGGTATCCGACACACCGAACAATGTCGGCGGATATATGTACAATGCATGTACACGTTACGTATACACAGCATCATATGGTTTGCACTTCAGCAAAACAAACAACAGCCAACCTGCATGCAGCCACCGAGGGTTCATTGGCCGACATCGTAGGCCCTGGACATGGAGCTGGACGCCAGCGCCAAGCTGGGCAACATCAGGCGCGCTTGGAGTTGCTTCGGGCTGTGCAACATGACTCTGGTTGCTTCTCAATGGCGCAAAGCTAACGACCCCACTTGTGTTTGAGAGCAAACAGGTTTCCCACAGCAGGCAAACTAGCAACCAAGCTTAGAACATCACAACGCTCGGTTCGGAAACGCATGCCGGCCGTGCTCTTCGACTCAGTGAACTCGTACTATGCCGGGATTGCGCGGCTCGCTCTGGCAGAGAGGGGCATTCTCTTCAGATCACATTACATAAGCATGCCAAATCTCGAGCAGCTGGCTCCCTGGTACATGCGGATCAACCCACTGGGACAGGTGCCCGCGCTGCAAACAGAGTCAGGGCAGATTGTCAACGACAGCCGCAACATTGTGGACTGGGCTTACGGGACGGACGAGAGCGCGGACGAGAGGGAGGTTCTGGACCAGCTGTACAGCGAGGACCCAGGCAGCCTGGCCTGGCTATCTGGCGAGGCAAAGATCCCGCTGCTCTGGATTGTGGTGAACTCGCCGGCGAAAAAGATCTTCCTTCCCCGAGCCATTCGTAAGCACCAGGTCGAGAACCCAGACCTGCACGAAGTGTACGCAAAGAAGCTCGCAGCCATATCCAAGAAACACTTTACGAAGCGCATCGAGGTCGTGCAGGGCAACGTGCAGCGCACTGTCGACTGGCTCGAGCGGCGGCGGAGGCAGAGTGGCGGCCCCTGGTTGCTGGGCACAGACTTCGGCCGCGCGGATGCTGTGGCGAGCGCCTACTTACAATGGGTCGACCGCTGCAATGCTTATGGGGCTGCACCAGTCGCCATCCCGCCGGGGCTTGCCGAGTACCTGGTCGCTGCCCGGTTACGGCCGAGCTTTCACGCCGCAATCGGGCAGCACGGCGAGGACGCATTCGTGCTCACCATGTTCGACGCGAAGAACCGCCGCGCCGGCGGTGTGTTGGGCTCGCTGCTCCTGCTCGCCCTGGCAGGCGCGGCCGCCCACATCTGCTGCGCGTAAGGCCGGAAGGGACGCAGCAAGGCGCGGTCAGTTTCACCAGTGTGAGCCAAGAGCGTGAAAGCTCGGCCCTTCTGCACGGCTAATCATTTAATCCTGCACCTCAGAACTCAAAACAGCTTGCATCCCTCACCCGCCCAGAAAGCTGTGCTTACTCTGATGAAGTTAAATGCTTGCGGGCAACGAGAATGACCGCACTTGACTCTATTGATAGCCAGCTGCTCGGTCCACTCAAACTGTCCAAACATGCTTGTGCCCCAAGACGCTCTGCAAGCAATTTTGACAAGGTATGAAAGAGGCTGCATGGGTGATAGGCCCTGAAGTGACATGGTTGTGCAGGGTATGCAGCACCATTTGTTTGAAACATTTGTTGCTTGTGATTTTGACCCCTCTGTTACCCCGGCTATGGACCACAACCACACATACACGACAGAGGTGTGTGGTGTAGCTCATTTGTCAGGTCTGAGCGATATGCCTTGATCATCGATGCCCAAGCCTTGGTCCACGTAGAGAGTTGTGTAACTGGACCAGTTGCACCACATATCTTTGAGAAGGTCATGCTTTCCGTGAATTTGCAAGCTGAATCACAATCAAACTTAGCTCTCAGAGCTCCCTTGGCTGTGATGGAATGAAAAGGATGAGACCTGTTGCGTTTGCCTACCAGAGCTTGTGCTGGAACGGAGAGCAAAGAGCGTAAGGTCTGCGATTTGTACGGTTGTTGCAAGGACGGAAAGATCACCAAGATCACCAAGGGGGAGGACTCGCAGGAAGCTTAGACTTGGCTTTCCGGTGGGGCATATTGGGAGAGCCCTGCAATTTGTGCTGTGCAAGATGCTGTCGGAGTGATGTCGCAACGGCGGATACGAGGTTTGCACCGGAAATTTTGGCAGCTCTCAAGTAGAGGCGGGTTGTGCTTGTTTTGGATTGAGTGTGGAGCTGCTGCAAGTTTGCTGTCGTGAGCCCAAACCGAATGTCAGCCCAGAGATTTCCCTTCGATTGGGGACGAATTCTCCTATGATTTGCCGGTTCTCGCCTCACCAGGCCATGCGCCAATTTTCAAAGATGCTTCGAGCGCTATTTTCTTCAGCGCAAGCGACGGATGAGAAGCCAGCCTGTGACTGGCATTCGCTGAACAGCCCAATTCGTTGCTTGTGAGCTGCTTCTCTTGACGGCTCATGCCACCTATGCCATGCGTGGTGCATTGGCCTTAGACACAGCACCTATTCGGCGGAGGAAACAACATTCAGCTTTTGGGCGTGTTGCTCGAATCGTGCTTGACTCTCTGTGTGCCGGGGTCAAAAGACCCCGATAACATGTGTCGAACAACTTGAATTGGGTTGGTGTACAGGATGTTTGGGCAAGGTTTGCAAGGGTTTCTGGAAAGAGAGCCATGCCCACGACCCATACAAGGAGTTTTGAGCATGGCACTTCAGCCGCAGCTGTATGCAGCCTGGTTGCAGGATTACTACTGGAACTCTTCAAGAAAGCACCGCCATGTTCCCAGTTGAAGATTGCATGTGGGAATGTGAGAACAAGTTCTCGTATACAATGTGCCGCACGATTGTGCAGTCTAGCTTTGCTTGGAACCGCCTGTGCCATCAGGTGCAGATGAAGATTGGTACGGAGAAGGCGGCCGTTGATCCCAACTCTATGAAATCCGGTATTGGTAGATTACTCGTTCTTTTTGGTGAAGGGTGCGCATCTAGAAGTCGTTTTGGTTGGGAGAGCGCTGATATTCCCTCGGGCTCAAGCCAAGGTATCGAACCTTTCCTTGTAGAAATCATGCCCAGGTGAAACCCCATCCTGGTGAATGCTCTTCCGATGCATAGCTGTGTACTGCCTTACCCGCGCATTCGCAGATGAGAGTTGCAGCTCTCCTGAAGCGGACATTGATACCTGCATCCCAGAGGAAGAGACTCTCTTGCTCCAAGTTGGAGTAAAATTGAACCCGGCCTGGAACTCTTCTTTTGACGTGGCTGTGAATGGCAACCTGACCTTCTCACAGCTCAGCCTGCATCGAAGTGTGCTGACAAGCGGAGCATCCTTTGGCCCCAAGACCAGTGCCGCCCTCTTCCTTCTGCTTAGCACCACCTTTGGCTTTCTCTGCCTTTGCGGCAATGCCAAGCCCTTCATCACTGCCCCGCACCTTGGCAGCTGAGGGGTCAAGCGTTGAGGAATTGATGGAGGCTTTACCCTTTCCAAGGTACTCTGGCTTTCCAGATGACGAGGACGAAAGCGAAACGGTGCGGCAGCAGTCCCTTGTCGCGTGCTATTTTGTCGTGCCTTGGCTACAGCCCACAGCTTCGGAGTCGTGGTTTACCGCAGAGTTCAGTGACGCTTGGTTGGGGGTTGTTTTCACGTGTTTGCTTGGTGCTCGTTGCTGTTCGGCATAGGCTCTGCATGACAGCGGCCTTGATGGTCGCACTTTGAGATGAATGGCACATGGTTGGGCCTGTGGGTTGAATGCTGATTGTGATTGTGTGACATCTTTTTATTGACGGTCCAGACTTTTGGCATGATGCGGAGCCGAAGGTCTTCATGGACGCTTTCGGCTTTGGGGTGTACGCGCCTTTCGTCCCGGTTTTGGCCAAGACGTTCTCTCTGCAAGCCCACGATATCGCTACAGTTCTCGCTGCTTGGTTTCCATTGCTTGCTGTGCTGGGTTTGTCTCAAGCCGACAGAAGCTTCAAAGATTTAGACGCTGACGCGAAACAGCCGTCCACCGGAAACCCTGCCCTTCGATTCTCATTAAACCCTTTCTTCATTTCACTTCATTTTCCTTCTATTGAACTCCATCATTTTCTTTCATTTCCCTTCATGTCCTCCCTTCATGTCAGTTTGCTGTATTTTCTTGCATTGTCCCTTCTCTTCCCCATTTATGTCCATTTATTTCCCGTTTTATATTCATTCTCCTTCATTTCATGTCCCCGCACTTTCTTTAGTTTCCTGCATTTCCCTTCAACACACTTCGCCTTATTTCCTCGCATTTCCCATTGTTCCCCTTTGGGTCCCTTTCATTGCTCATTTCACGTCTATCATCTCCCTTCACTTTCATCTCATTTTGCTTCATTTTCCTCACCTCTCATTTCGCTTCCCTTCATTCCGTTCGAACCCTTCCAATTCCCCCTTCGTTTCCCTTAATTTCCCTTTTCATTTCCCTGCATTTTTCTTCACTTCATTTTCCTGATCATGTCCCTTCATTCCCCTTCATTTTTCGCTCTACTTCCTTGGATTTCTTGCATTAGCAGGAGCAGCACTCTCTCATCATTTCCCCTCATTGTCCTTCATTTTCCTTCGTGTCCTTTTGCTTCCCTTCAGGCCCCTCCTTCCCCCTTGATTTCGCAGGAAACCGCATCAATCGGGATGATGCCAGCATGGCTGGGGCTGTCCAACGATGATACTACTAAAGCACTAGTGATGCGGTGTGTGTGGGTGACCACTTTATCTGCAAAGTAGGCACTGGTGATGCTGGGGATGTCGACCACTGTATCTAGACAATATGTCATCTGCAACTAGCAAGCGGAAAAACATCTCCTTTGCTAAAGGATGGTTGCTGGGGATGTCAGGCGCCGGTCTCGCCAAACCCCATTAGTAGGCTTGCTCGAACTGATGATGCAAAATTATTTGTTTGATGATAATGACTTATGATTGAATTGCAAGAAGGGGTCGGTTGATTATCGACCTCCCCCCTCCCTCTCCTGTTCATGCTGGCTGAAGAGACTTGAACGTGATAGTGCCATAGGAAAGCTATGATCTTTGCCATTGTAAATATGTAACGGGCCAACCAAGGCAACCTTTTCCTTGGCCCAAGCGCTGAACACTCCAGTCTTGGGCTACCTCTCAGACCGCTTTGGCCGGCGCCCGGCACCTTGGCTCTTCAGGTTGCCTTGGAGGGATCACGAGTATATTCCTTTCAGAGGTTGAGGTACCTTGATGCCCGCAAGTTGCTTCGGTGCTTAGTTGTTTTCATCAGTTGCTACAGTGAGAAAGCAGCGTTTCAGAGGTGCCGAGCTGTGCTGGCGCTTAGGTTAGTTTCATCGATCTTGGAAAAGCGCCGAGCCGCCAAACTCGAAGACCGTCGGCTCGAGGTACTCCTGGCAGCGCTGGCCGCCGAGTCGCTTGCCCCTTGGCGGCTTCGTGCTCGCCAAGGGAAGCCATGCCCACAGTTTGAGTGTTTTGAGTGTTTTGAAAGGGAGCGAAAACAGAAGCCCAGCCACAGTTCAGAGGCCCACCCCTACTAAAGTTCTTTGTTTTTGACAGCCGAACGGAACTATGAGCTGCACTCCTGCCCCATTTCCCATTTTTTTGGACTGGGTCGGGCACGGGATTACAAGAAACGGCAGCGCTCAAATTGTAGAATGCCGCACGGGACACCTGAGCAGGCACACATGAACTTCCATGTATGCTGTTTGCCGTAACGTGTTGCACACGTTTCCAGTCGTACATCATCCTCAGCGTGGCCGAAAGCTTCACCATTTTGCTGATTGGCTACATCTTTGCTGGGGCGTTCTGTGCGACCATAGGCCTGGCAGAGGGCGGCCTTGAGAGGCCCTGCCGGCACCAAACTGCTTGTGGGTGAGGACTCGAGGTTCACCTGGATTTGTGGCAAGATGCCTGGGTTGGCGCTCCGGTTGAGTTCATCCCAAATCTGAAATTGACCGGAGGATTTGACATTTTGGCGGCAAAGCAGCGCAGGTGTGTGCAACGCATATATCGCCTCAGTCTCCACAGAGGAGGAGAGCTTGCAGCTGTTGTTGCGGCTTTGGTGCAGAACTTTTGCTCGTGATGGCAGTCGCTTTGTCACACCCAAGCAATCATAATATTCATGCAGGCTTTGCACCGGGGTGATGCGTTTTTTTTTGGCCTTGCAGCACCCTGCGACCCCCGACCTCACTGTGGGCTCAAGCTATTTCAGGCATTTTCCTAGCTTAGCTAGGTCCATTCGGTCCATGTCACAATGTCCGACGAGGTCACGCCTCTTCAGACGGAGAAGGCATATGGCAGTGTGCCCTCCTTAAAGTCCTCAAAGACCACCAGCTGGGAGGCAGAGTATGCAGCTCCGTGGATGATCTTATGCAATGCCATGGCAGTGGTGGGCTACCAGATCTTCTCCATGAGCTTCATCGCTTACCAAGTCCTTTACAGCAGATCCTATGTCATGTTTTGTATCCATGGCGAGTTGCCAGAGTGGCAGCTTTGGGTGTGTGAGTATACCAAAGCCTACACCCGCTTCTTCCCCCTAGTTGCAATCCTCATTTCCATGAGCCTGGTCCGTAGCATTATCCTGATCCAGCGCATGTACTACGAGCTGCTCCGGCACGGAGCCATCCTTCAATTCAAAGAGTACAAGGCGAGCCGTGAGCCCGTGTTTTACATCCTCATCTTCTGCTTTGTGCAGGGAGCATCGAATTGGCTGCTGGAAGCCATGACTGGGCGTCATGAAGGGAGCCTTTTGCGGGAGACCAAGCTTTGGCTGGTCTACTTGGTGCTTCCGATCACCACGTTCATCCTATCCATTTACTTCACCCATGAGCCTGCCTACTACCTGGTGCCTCTGAGCCGCTACATCCATGCCAACACCTATGAGGATGTTGAGGCTGCTCAGCAGAGGGTGTCCAGTTTGATCCTCATCGACGAGGAGCACGCGGCGGCAGTATGTGCTCACATGGATTTGCCAGCGGACCTCAAACCCGAGGATACGACTGGGAAGTATCAGGAGCTAATCACCACATCGCAAGGTCTTCGGGAGAGTGGTTCCGTGATTGTTGGGCAACACCGCCTGCAAACGAAGTTCGCCAAAAGCCAGATCATGGATCGCTTTTGGCCGGCGAGGCTTCTGTTGCAATCAGCTCTGGTGGATGAGAGCAGCAAGCAGTTTCGACGCGTCAGCATGTTCTATGACTTTGTGTGCATTTGCGCTGCCTGCACGTGCGGATCGCTCTTCATCAAGTATGCCATCAAAGATGTCCATGACCTGAGGAAGGGCGAGGTGGAGGATTCCTCTGCATTGCTCGTTGAGGCGCTCCACGCAGCCTATGCCTTTTACTACATAACCCAAATCTTAAAAACGACGAGCATCCTTGCGGCCTTCAGGTTGAAGCCGCTGTGAATGAACAGCACAAGGGATTTGGCGGATGGCAGCCGCAACCTGTCTCATCAGAAGCTGTTCAGGAATTTCTTGAGACTAGGAATTGCCACTCCACCTCTCGTCAGGAGCCATTGGTGAGAAAACCATGCGCGTTGCAAGGTAGCTGCGCAGCGTTTGGACCCACCAAGCCACCTAATTCGCACTTATTGGGATCAATCTTGGCCATGTAGCCGCGGAAAGGGCTACGGCGTCTCTATCGTGTCGTGAGCCCAACGGAAATGCATGATCAGGAAAAGAACAGGAAAGCAACGAAATTCAGAAAGCAGACAACAGAGACTCGTAAGCTGTGAGAACCGTCAGGGCTTGTTGTATTGGATGGTCGGAATAGTGGGACAGTGGGAATACTGGGACAGTTGAGACGGTTGGGTTGCTCCACACGCTTCGAATGTTTGGGGCGGTCGGAATGCTCAGGATGGAGCATTTCAATTTGTTGTCCGGCTCAGGTTAGTCCAGGCTGAAAAAGCGCAATACCGGGCGGAGGGGGTTGGGTGACCTCGAGAGTTAAGATTGAACAAAGAAGGGCAACGCCGCTGGAGCTACTGGGTTGCAAGCGGTAGGGGGGCACCCTACAGTTTCTGCTTTGAATGGGCCCAAGGCAAAGGAAAGTGCTTTGAATGGTTCATCAACTCAAATGGCGGTGATGCTAGAGATGTAGCAATTTCTAGTCTACGGATTTTGCCGACTGAAACGGTGGTGATACTAGCAGGTCAGCCAAGGCTGAGCTTGGTTGGTGGAAAGCTTTTCATTAAATAACACCCTAAATCACAACCAGCCCAACCCCCAACCCAACCTAACCCAACCCAACCCAACCCAATCCAACCCAACCCAACCAACCTCAAACCAACCTGAAAACAACCTTACTATTTTCCGTGGTTTTCATGCTGCAATCTTGGTGCTGTTTGCACGCGAACACACTTCTGGAGGACGTCCGCGCGTTGGTCTGGATGGCTGGGGCGTTTGGGCCGGGAGGATGGGCGGTGGTTGGGATGGTTGGGGGTATGCCGGAGAGTTGGAGAGTTTAAAGGCAGGAGTCTGAGCTCACCTTTCCAACGTGTTGTCAGCATTGTGCTTGTAGCTTTGCGTCGTTCATTTTTCCCCACCTCTCGGTCGGCCGAATTTCTCCCCTTTGTCAGCTGAATCTCATCACAGTGAATGCCATTCCACTTGTAACTGGGTCTTTTCCATTCTTCATCTGGGTCCGTGAGTCGCTGCTTATGTCGGTGATGGAAACCTATGTTTCTCGAATCATTGGTACAGCTGACCCTGTTCCACAAGCAGCCGGGTCCACCATTGGAACTCTACTCCCTACGCGTGCTTCTCAATACTGTTTTGCCAGAACCCCGTCCAGCATTGAATGGCACATTCGGGCACAGAAAGCCAGAAAGGAATGCTGGTGGCAGCATCGCAATCCTTACTATCCACATTCATACTTGAGAGTTGGGTGTTGTTCGAAGTTAAAGCTGTTTCGCGACTGCAAAGCAAAGGACTAACGGCAGACTTGCCGCACTCCACTCGCACTGGCTTGCAATTTCTTGGGCTTAGAACAATTGGTTTAGAACTCTTGTTTTCTTAATCAGCACCGTTCCCTGTAACCTGAACGGCTGTTTCATTGCTGGCATATTTGGCATCATCACTAAGTATGTAATAATCACACACACACAGACACACTTCTCGACATACTTTGCATATGTATTGCCGGAAGACTTACCTCGTTGCGCGTTTGGTTGTGTAGCGCATGATGCTGGACGCGCATTGCGTGTTTTGGGCTGCAGGCTTGTTCCGTCTGATGTAGCCTCCTTAGCAAGGTCACGGCACTCCGTGTTTCCAAGTGCACCGGAAGCATTTGGAGGCATATGGCTTATTTATGTTAGGCGTTTGTGGTTTGTATTTGGAAAGGTTGTTTGTTGAACCTACTCTTAGCCAGCGCTGCTTTGGTCAAATGGTTCAAGGCGTGCGTTACACAAAGCATTCGTGTGGTTCGCTGCCAAGAAGGTAGCCTGGTCTTGTGCTGACAGCAGACGCGCCCAACTCCGTCCAGGGTCGAAGTCATTGCCCAACAAGTTCAATCTGCAAGCAACAAGCCCAAAGCGTACAAGAACACTTCTTGGCGTGAGCTGCAAGCTACAGAGTTCAACCTGAATGTGTCTGTGCCTGCCTGAATATGGCGTCTCTGGTACTTTTCGTGTTGAAACTTAGTCAGCAGACCCTTGAGTCAGTTGGGGCGCTTGCATCAAGAACATCGAGGATGCAAACGCACAAGCCAGGCCTGCCAAGCTGATAACTGCCTACCACTTCCCAGAAAGCGTCGCTTGCCCTTATACCCACATGGGCCAGTCAATCTGAAATCAACGTTTCCTCTGAAAGGCAATGACAATGCTTCAACCAACGCACAGTAAACCAATCAAACTCTGGGCAGGAATTTCCCTCTCCCGACTGCGACGGGTTTTCCAGAAAACCAATCACAATTCAAAGGGTTCTGAAAGGGATCAATCACGCAAATTCTTGCCAGGTCATGGCTTCAGGGTGATTGATTGGTTTGCCAGCCTCAAAAATGCGATTGGTTTTCCAGAAACCCAATCACACCTCGGGCTGGGCTGGAGGGCTCCCAAGGGTGATTGGATTTGATTTTGCAAATTTGGTAGCAGCCAACTGGCTCTCCCGAATTGTGACGGGTTTTCTGGAAAACCCATCACATTTTTACCAGTAGATTCGGCTGCAGCCAAAGACAATTCGGCTGCAGCCAAGTGGCTTGCCAAAATTGTGATGGGTTTTCTGGAATGCCAGAGCCAATGGTTCAGCCCCTGGGGCTTGGCTTAAGTCAATTCTGATTCGGTTGCAGCCATGCCACTGTTGAAAATGTGACAGGCTCTCTGGTAAAAAGAAGGGCAATTCTGCTTTTTAATTCTGCAGTTGAATCCGCAAAAAACGTATCAACAAGCTGTGGTGATCTCGCACTTTGTTTTGGCTGGCCTAGTTGTGAGGCCCAGTGTGGCCTTTGATTTGTCAGCAGCCAATTGATTTGTTTTATCAGGCTCGCAGCTTTGGAAAATCAGCCGCACATTGGCCTTCAAAATGTAAACTTTGCAAACGCATGTGTCACATTGTGCCGGGCTGTTTGTTTTTTTCAACAAGCTGGAGTCATGTTATATACGCAGGAGTGTGTATTTGCTTGGTAATCAGCTTGGAACTATGCGTGAAACACATTGGAGAGGGTGGAGAGGCTAACTGTGTTTAACCATGCGCATCATATTGCTGGGCTGGTTGTTGCCTGGACTTCCTTCCTGTTTGAGCAGGCTTGAAAAGTGACAAAACAAATGTTGCATTTGTTGCGCGCAGCTCCTTTTGATGCAAGCTGCGTATGTGTGTTCGTGCGTGCGATGGGATGGTTGCTGTGGAGTATTATGGCCATCCTGATAAGCGCGTCCTGGTACGTGACGCGTGTCCTGATGTAAGTGCTGTTCCGTTAAGGCTGGCATAGCCCGTGGTTACAGCGCAGCCTGTTTCGCTAATAGTAATGCGTCGTGTCAAGTTTTCCTAGCTGAGAAATACAACAGTTGTTCGTGCTACTAACCATGTTCAGCCGTGGCTTCCCACAATGCTGAAACTATAAATCTTGCAATTGCCTGTATAAGTACCTCAGCACGTCTCATTCAAAACATGGTCTCAAACCACGAGCTTTGCATTCCTCTTCCTTGTGGAACACCTTGACCAAAACTCATCTCTCATGGCGTTTCTGAGTGTGACGACACCTCGGTATTAATGGCTTGAAACGCAATTTGCTCCATGTACTTCATTAGCCATCGTATATCCCAGTCCAAGACCTGGATTGAATCTGGAAAAGACCTACTTGCAGCTGGAATCGTATCGTCGGCAGAATGTAACCATGCCGTTGGCCAATGGCGTTGGCCAAATTTTGAATGCACCTCTGCGATGTCATCGTTTGGGGATCAGGATGGGAGGGAAGCGGATGCTGAGAATGCATTCATGGCAGGACCGGCCCATTCGATTGGCCTATAGCTCGGGAAGCTTTTCTGCACTATGGGTTGGTGCCTTTTGTCAGGTTTCAACCACCTTACACATTTCCACTTGTCAAGCAGAACGGCTGGTTGAGCCCCATGGCCTCGTGTGAGAGATCGGCAAAATTAGCCTTCAGTGCCGACGTAAGTGTTGCTTCCAAGGCCAGTTTGCTGCAATCCCTGTGCCGGTATCCGTTTCATCCGAGTGAGGGAGCATCGCGCTGGGGTTGATGCTGGGCCCGGTGCTGGGGGCGGCGCTGAGCCACCAGGGCTTCGCCGCTGCGGTACGGATCTGCGCCTTCCTCAGCGCCCTGGACGTGGTTGGAGTGGTCTCAGAGTGGTCTCAGAGTGGTCGGATGCGTTTGTAGGTGGTGGGTTAAGTTTGTTTTATGTCGAGGGGATTGGTTGGGGGCCCCAAGTTTCGGTTGGTCGGTCGGTAGGTGGGTGCTTGGTTGGGGCTTTCGCGGTGTTTTTTTGCGTGCTTTTGGTTTCCGAATCCATCAAGCAACCCTCAGTAGCATCACTGCTTGTGACCCACCTGAAACCAGCACTATAAACCACTAAAATCAACCCAGACCCAAACCAACCCTAAACAAACCCTACGCAACCCCGTAGCAACCCTGTAGCAAACCCGTAGCAACCCTAAACCAGCCCGCAAACCACTAAACCATCCCTAAACGGACTCCAAACGCTAACCTAAACCAGCTACACAACCTAAGCCAACCAAAACCAACCGTACACCCAGCCTAGCAAAATCCTTGAACCGACGCAAAACACAGTCTAAACCCAAGCTTCTGGTGATGCTGGGGGTGTTGAAAGCGATTCTGGTGATGTTGAGATTTCTGGTGCAAAACAGGTGCATGTTGCTAGCAAATGCTGTAAAACTCAACCTGCCAACCTGTTGGTTCGGGGTCTTCCTTCGTGCTGCAATTTGACTTCAAGGAAAGCAACCACGAAAACTAGCTTGAATGCCACCTACAGTGTGCTTGTCTTCTTCACATACCATCATATTCACCAGACAAATAAAGTTTCGGTTTGTCACTGGGGACAAGGATCTTGTTGCTGCTTGCGAATGGCTTTCATTTCTAGCGGTGTCGGCGCTGCCTTTGCAGAGGTGGTTGCTTCGTCAGATTTCATTTTGCTCCAGTTCATCTAGCTGATTGATTGAGTCATGCTCAAGCTGTTCGGCGGGGGTTGATTCTTGACATCCCCCTCAAAAGACTCCGACTGACAACCAGAGCCACCGTGGAGACTTGGCATTCTCCCCTGAAATTCCGGCGGCGTTGTGCTTGCTCTTTTGGACGTGGAAGGTATGCTGAACTGGACTTTTGTCTTCAGCTTCATGGCAGAGTCTCCGAAGCTTGGCGCTTTCAAGGTGAGCAAAGGACAGGGGAAAGAATTATTGAACTTATGCACATAATGATGCAGAGGAGAAGGAAAGGAGCAATCAAAGCATGAAAACAAGACCGACGATTTCAGATGTGAGAGTTAACAGCAAAGCAGCTTTCATCTTAATTACTCTTCATTATTGCAAACGCTTCGCGTTGCCCGCCTCGGCCAGTCCGCCTTTGGCTGGCTTACAGGTGTTTATCGTGCTTTAGTTTGCCTCGAAGTCTTGTGTTTGTTACAGTGCGTGAGTCGGTGCCCGTGACCGTGAGCTGGTTGGCAGAGGGTGGGTGCATGTCCGCGTGTTTCCACACATGGCTTCAAGGGCCAGAACGAGAGCTGCACAGAGCTACAGAATGGTAGCGGGCTTGGGCCAGCGAAGGTGCACATTTCTAGGGTTTCTTGGGGGGAACTTTGCCGGTTTCTAGAGGATTTGTGATTCGCTTCTGGAGGGGATTTTGAACGGCTTTAATGGGGATTTGGCTGGAGTTGGACCGGTTCTGGCGGGAGGGGACCGGAGATGGACTGGTGGAGAGAGTGGATTTGATTGGTCTGGATGGGAAGTTGATTGGTTTCTGTGAGCGATTTGATTGGCATTTGATCGGCTTTAAGGGGGGGGATTGGTTTCTACGGGTTTTAGAGGGCATTTGATCACTTTTTCAGAGGGGGTTTGGCCGGTTCCTGGGGGAAAATTGACAGAAATGAGGAGGGGGAGACGAACGGATCTGATCACTTCCAGCCTTGACCTTCCAGCCTCAGCTGGAGCAGGGATTTTGGCAGCGCGACATGGGGTCGAGGGGGGGGGGGGTGGTTGGGAAGGGGAAGAGGTTCTGGCCGCTTGCCGGCCCTGGAGGCCGAGGCGAATATATTGTATTAATGGCTTGTAGATTTGTAATTGCTTGATGACAGATAAGGTAAGGGTAGAGCGATTGACTTGAACATCTGTTGGAATGTGTCTTAGTTTACTTTTACCTGCTTTGGCATGTCGTATCTCTTCTTGTACACTATTCAGAACATGCTTCTCTTTCATCAAGCAACAGCACCAGCTTTGTAGGATTTAGAAAGATGGTTGCAATGGCAAAGATAAACGACATAAACCAAGGCATTGGAAGAAGAAGAAGAAGAAGAAGAAGAAGAAGAAGAAGCGGATGCTGATGACGATGAAGATTATGATTCCAAGATGTGTTGATTTTGTTTATCATTCCTTCATTCCACTCATGAACTGGCATACAAGTGTTTGGTGATACCGAAAGGTAAGGATTGGACAAGAACTAAAGTGACATGTCAACAGTGAGTCACTGCTTTACAGAGAATACTTGCAGTAAGAGCTTGATTCATTTTTGCGTCATCTTGTTGTTTTTACTGTGGACTAGCAAATTTATGTCAGTATTTCATTTGACAGGTTACCATTATTGTTCAGTGCGTACTCGTTTTTCTGTTTTTGCGCAGTTCAGCATGTTAATGCGGGCTTGAGCAAATGATACAGGGGCTGGGCACAGAGGGAACTGAACCGGAGCTGGATGCGGGGGCTTGAGCATCTGATGTCGAGCGGCGGGGGGAGGCCAATGAGATGACAGAAATCAGCTGGACTGGGCTGAGTATCAGCTGGCCGCAGGGCGGCCAAGAAACTGCGAATATCTTGTTTACCAACCCTTTACCTTCCTGCTGTGGATGGACGCAAATCGCGCTTCCCACTAGGTGACAGTATTCATGGCGTTTTATGGGCTACAACTGGTGCAAGACTTTGTACATTCACAGTGTCTCGCTCACTTCCTGCTTTTATCATCCAGTTCTTGTGCACCTGATCCAGGCTTTACACAGCTTGTGAAAGAGCCGGGCCAGCATTTTGCCAGGCGGCTTTGACACTTAAGTATCTGATCACCGCGCGTTGGATCAAGCAGAGCTGCTATCGCCTCATGTTTTTGTTTGAGCTGGACCCAACATTTCGTGGCCCTTGGTCCTCCAAGCACTTCCACGGCTTCAAAAGGCAATCATGCTGTGCAACCCCCAAGAGAGATCACTTTGCAACGCAGAAGGTTTGCATCTCACCTGTTTGAGTCGCAGCTCCGTCGCCAATATGAGGCTGTTGCAATAACTTTGAACATGCTGTGCCAGGGCCCACCTCTGGCTTATTCCCCCAACGCTTCTCCCCATCCACAGCCATCTGCCTGTTAGGCACTTCTTGCTCAGACGGCAGCCCAAGTTCGACATGGGTTTTCGGCCGCTGAGATTGTACCAGAGCTTTTTGGTCTCAGAATTCTGGCGTTTGAACTGACAGCCAAGCATCAGAGCCAAGCACTCGAATCCGGCGTTGGTAGATTTACCTTATTGAGACAAAGATGAGGCTACTGCAATCAAGGACAGTCTAAGAAGCAGGGTCTCCAAAATGACACGCTTGTTTCATCTTGTTGATGGGTCACTGGCCCGTGTGTAGCTGCTCCAAGCAACTCACTGATTGTGTTGCTTATGGCGCTGCTGGCTGAGTTTCTACCCCCCCCCCCCCCTGCAGCAGCCACGATGTTGCGTTCAGCAGAAAATTGTTTTCAAGCCAGCCTTTCAAGGGCATCAACAGAATCTCTGGACCCTTGTTGCTTGACTTGAACTAGCTGTCACCTTTTTCATGCATTGGCACCGCTGCTACCATTTGGGTTGCAAATTAACCCCCCCCCCAAGTAATATCGGCACTTCCACTCAGGGCGACCACCAATGCCAAACATTTTGAGGACATTTACACGTGCTATCCCAGTTTCAGGCAATTCCTTCTGCCAAACACGTTCACGAAAGCTAGGAGTCTCTCTTGCTTTATGGGGCGGTGAATCCCAGAACTCTGTGAGGCTCGACTTCCCCCTGGACCGCCTGCAAGGCCCTCGGCTTTTGCCCACACTTCGCTCTGCTCTCTGCTCTTCTCCCCACCATTGGCCTCCGCTCCTTTCTCCGCTCTGCCCTCTGCCCACTCTTCGCGCTCTTCTCTTCGCAATCACTCCAGCTCCTCGCTCCGCTCTTCTCTGGCTCTTCTGCCCACACTTCTCACCGTCTTTCGCTCTGTTCTTCGCTCCGCTCTTCCTCCATTCTGTTCCGCGCTTTCAACACTGATGCGCTCTGATTGCACTCTGCAATGTGTTTTGCGCATTGTTCCTTGAATTCGCTTTTCGCCCGGAGGACGCAGGCTGTTCGAATGTGGCTGTTGTTCCTTCTCGTGAAGTTCCTCCCCGGTCAACCCCGAAAAGTGAGCCGGCGTTGCCTTTGTTCGGACGTTAGATTTCGTTTGCCTCCCGTGGCCTCGAAGGAAAGCACGAATTGGCACTCTGCTCGCAGTAGCCCCAAACGGTATCAAACTATGCAGGACACGAAGGGCTGTTCTGAGTCACAGCCTCGACTCCCCGAGTTTCGACTCCTTGCCTCGCCTGGCCTGGCCGCTCTTCCTCGGGGCCTTCTTGGGCAACGCCGGCATCGCTGCGGCGGAGTCCTGCGGGGCGCTGCGCCTTGGAAAGGCGAGAGGCTGCAAAGGAGCCAGGGCTCCGAACGGAACTTGTGCAGATCAAGCCTCACACATCCCTCAAACTTGCGGTGCCATTCCAAGGTACGTTATGGACTCCTACTTCAGGGGCACTCGAATGACAGCGGTGGAGAGCACCCGCTTCTGGGCGTGGAACATGTTCATCTCTGGAGCCGTGGTGATTATCATCACCTACTGGGTCTTCCCATCCTTGATGCATCTCGGGCGTTGCAAGGAGTTCTTTCTGTGATTAACACAAGAGGATTTCTGCGGGCACTTTCAGCTTCATTGTCCATCAATGTGTGTGTGTGAGTGTGTTGTGCAGTTTGTGCGCACCCGTCTTTGAAGGTGGGCGGGACCTGAGGCATGAGTTTTTGTTGACGGTGTTTGATCGTCTTATAAGTATGCTTACATCTTGCTTCATTGACGGCCAACCCTCAGGCACAGACTGAAGCAGCAAAGCACCATGCTGCTAGGCAGGGCGTGTAGTGGTCACTGACACCTTCCAAAAAGATTGAGCCAACTGATAGCTTTGCTTGGTCGCCTTGTGACAGTGTGGTCAAGATACGGGATCAGGCTGAACCACTTAGTCATCGTCATAGTTGCTTTAGGAGTCCGGAAGCCTGTAAAACCCTCCTCAACCTCTGGAACCATTTGGAACCCTCCGAAACCCTCTCGTGGAGCGGCCTTTGTTGTTAGCTTCTACGGTAGCATCATTCCAAGGGAGACCCTTGGAGCTGCTCCGGACCACTCCGGAGCTTCGGCTTCTGTGGACAGAGACCCCACAAATTTCGGCCGTTGACAAAAACATGTGATTTCACGTGTGAATTTGCCAGTGAGTAAGTCTTGACAGTGGGTTGATTTCATATTAGCATTCATCGTACTTAGTCCAAAACGGCCGGATGGGGAACTTTGGGGTCCATAGTTTGCATGAGGGCCACCGTCGCAGGAGTTTGCCTGCGCATCATCGGGTACTCCGGCTTGGCGATGGCACCCACTAAGCAACAGCCTCAGCTCGAGGGACACTCGATCGGGTGGCTCGTGCGGTTGGTCTCCCATGGCTAATCTGGTTTTGGGTAAACTTCTTGAATACCATGATTGTGACTCAGTCGAGGTGGTATTGTGCCATTCAGGAGCTTTTGCCAATTTCTGAACTGACAAGTCAAAAGCACCCTAATCCTTCTCGTTCTTTTGTGGGGGGGGGCGGAAGGGCAGTTCAATCTTTAGCTATTTGCCTTTCATTTTCCAATGTATCCTATCCAGAACAATTTTCATGACCCCAAGCGTCACGCAAGGTCTACAAGCAAGACATGTTTCAGAAATGTTGGGGGAACCCAACTTTCGTCAAGCCATTGGCAAATACTGCACATGTTGAGACTCAAAGTCACCTGGCGTCTGATTTAGTTTGTGTGCATCATCCTTCCCAAGCTGTTGAAGTTCTTCATCCGCGCACTTGATGCGGGCTCTTCCTCAAAGCAATCAAACAAGAACCCAAACAATGGTTTCATGGCCAGTCGCTGTGGTGTGTCTGTTGCTTTCCGAAGTAGCTGAGAAGCAGCAAGAGTTGTCTAGCTCCAGTCAAATGCCAGCCGTGCCGAATAAACAAATGCCAAGACAAATGCAACCAGCATCTGTTTTGACACATACACCGCCTTGCTTCATGCATTGTGTATGTCTTGTCTGGGCAGGCCACAAGAATCCAACATACTTGAAAGGTGCCCTGATCTTGATCGCACTAGCTGGGAGATACATTCGTGGTGGAGAGTAAGCTTTGCTAAGCTTACATCTTTCACTAGCGTCAAAACGGATTTGCGAAGCTGAGAGCATGCGGCTTAGCATGTTGAGAACCTGTTCCTGTCGGTGCAATGTTTCGTGTGTTTCTTAGCACACTCCCACTACAGATCACATTTGGGCATGCAGCGAAGGCTGGTGACCGTGTCGGACGCGGCGAGTCGGACGGCGGCATGGTCGAGTCGGACGGCGCCGGATGTCCGTGTCAGCCGGCGCGTGTGTTCGAGTCGGACGGCGCGGAAACGTGTGCCCGAGTCGGCCGCGGAAGCCACGTGTCGGACGGAAAGCGCTGTGTCAGACAACGACGGCGCGAGTCGGCTGCGTATCGGACGGCGAGCACGCCAGAAGAAGCGCGGACGCGGAGCGAACTTAGCAAAGTAAGGTCTCCGAGTCAGAACCCGACGGCCCGAGTCGGCCGCGGAAGCCACGTGTCGGACGGAAAGCGCTGTGTCTGACAACGACGGCCCGAGTCGGCTGCGTATCGGACGGCGAGCACGCCAGAAGAAGCGCGGACGCGGAGCGAACTTAGCAAAGTAAGGTCTCCGAGTCAGAACCCGACGGCCCGAGTCGGCCGCGGAGGCCACGTGTCGGACGGAAAGCGCTGTGTCAGACGACGACGGCCCGAGTCGGCTGCGTATCGGACGGCGAGCACGCCAGAAGATCCGCGGACGCGGAGCGAACTTAGCAAAGTAAGGTCTCCGAGTTAGAACCCGACGGCCCGAGTCGGCCGCGGAGGCCACGTGTCGGACGGAAAGCGCTGTGTCAGACAACGACGGCCCGAGTCGGCTGCGTATCGGACGGCGAGCTTATCATGAGAAACTCTTGAGCGGGTGTGCTTATCATGTGCCAACACGTGTGCGCAGCGCTACGCGAATACAATGAGTAACGCCTTTAAGACAACCTTGAGATCGATGACTCAGAGGGCCAAATACTTGGAGCGTTTAAATTTCCTTGCAAACTACAAGCACAGCGCAGCAGCTGCATCGTCTTTTTTGGCCTCATACTCCTCGGCTGGGTGTTCGCAGGCTCACTTTTGCCTCTTCCACGGTGGGGCGGCAGCAGATTCGATCCTTAGATGCTGTAGTTTCCGCAAAGTCTTTGCTTCAGTTATTGCATTGTTGCTGCCAGGGCAAAACTTGTCTACACACGAGTTGGTGTTCTAGATGACGCTTTTGCTGTTTTTGCCGGTTTGTTCTTGTCGCTGGAACTAGTGCTTTGGGCTATTCCGCACGTTATGTGTGAAAACTGCACAACGGGGCCTGCCACAATATTATTCGGACCACGTGCAGCCAGGATGCCCGCAATGTCGTCGCAAGGCTTGCGCTACCTTCTCGCAGAACTCAGGTGAAGGGTGCCGGGGTGGGCTGGCCTGGGCTGGCTGCATTGTTGGCCGCGTAGACTCTGCATGCTGCATTGGCTGCATTGGTTGGACTGGATGCATCAGCTGTGTCGTCTGCGCAGTCTGCATCGGCTGCATCACCTGTATCGGCTGCATCGTCTGCATCGGCTGCATCGTCTGCATATGCTGCATCGCCTGTATCGGCTGCATCGTCTGCATCGGCTGCATCGTCTGCATATGCTGCATCCACTGTATCGGCCGCATCGTCTGCATCGCCTGTATCGGCTGCATCGTCTGCATCGGCTGCATCGTCTGCATCGGGTCCCGGGGTGGGCTGGCCTGGGTAGGCTGCATTGTTGGCCGCATAGACTCTGCAGGCTGCGTTGGCTGCGTTGGTTGAATTGTCTGCATCATTTGTGTCGTCTGCATCGGCTGCATCGTCTGCATCCGCTGCATCGGCTGCGTCGTCTGCCCTGCATCGGCTGCATGGCCTGTGTCGGCTGCAGCAGCTGCACTGTGCTGACCTTGCGTCGGCCATATCTCCGCGGGCTGCATTGGTTGCATTGGGTCCGCCCGTTGCATCGGCTGGATTGGTTGCGCTGTGTGTGCGGGCTGCAGTGGCTGCGCGGGCTGCGTTGGGTGCGCCGGCTGTGTTGAATTCGGCTGCGCAGGTGCCGGCTTTGGGTGCTCCGGCTTCGCCGGTGGCGCCGTGGCTGGCTTTCGAGGTCTCTCTAGCGGTGCTTTTGCGTGCGCTTGCTTTGCGTGCGCCGGCTTTGGTTGCGCCGGCTTTGGCCGAGGCTGCTCCAGCGGAGCTTTTGCCGGTTGGCGGCGCTGCCAGTTGCTTGCTCTCTGCTGCGAATGTTTCCTCGTCATGTTGAACACTGCGCACCCTCTCCAAGCCGAAACGGCAATAGCGGACTGGTCCGGATCGCTGTTGCTGCATCAAGCCAATGAGTAAACGAATTAGTGGGTGAAATGTGTAGGTGCAGGTACACCAAGGATTCCGCTTTGTATGTGTATATATATGTGTATCATCATGTGTATATATAATATGAATATGCTTGTGCAAACACATATACATATGCATAGGCACAGACACCTATATACTCTTTACACGTTTGTATATGACCGCTGCCTCAGACGCTGCAAAAGCACGTATCGACATGGAGACTGCTTTTGCAACAACAACAGCGCACCATCATGCTGTTAGCGCGCGCGCCGAAAGCCTGGAATCCCCCTGTAATGAGCGCGCAGTGTGCTGAAATCACTGGTTTTCCTCAGGGATGCAGCGTCACGCCTCCAGGACGTCAAAAAGCCAGCTATTATCTTTGCTGGCCGGCAAAAAATCGCGCGCGGCACCGGATGTCCGTGTCAGCCGGCGCGTTTGTCCGAGTCGGATGGCGCTACTTGGCGGAGTCGTACGGCGAGCGCGCAAGAGCAACGTGTGCGCCGAGCAAACGTAGCGAAGGAAGGTCTCCGAGTGAGAGCCCGACGGTCCGAGTCGGAGGCGGAGGCCACGTGTCGGTCGGCGAGGACTGTGTCAGACAACGACGGCCCGCGTCGGCCGCGGAGTCGGCGGTGCCGAACAGCGAGCATGTCAACGAGACGTAGATGCGGAGCCAACTTAGCGAAGTAAGGTCTGCGAGTCAGAACCCGATGGTCCGTGTCGGCCGCGGAGGCTGCGTGTCGGACGGCGAGGACTGTGCCAAACAACGACGGCTATGCGAAAACACTTGAGCGGGTGTGCTTATCGAGTGATACACTTGAGCGGGTGTGCTTATTATGTGCCGGCATGTGTGCAGTGCTACGCGAATACACGTGAACGGGTGTGCTTATCATGTGCCAGCATGTGCGCACTGCTACGCGAACACACTTGAGCGGGTGTGCTTATCATGTGCCAGCATGTGTGCTCTGCTACGCGCATGCGCTTGAGCGCGTGTGCTTATCATGTGCCAGCATGTGCGCAATGCTACGCGCATACACGTGAACGGGTGTGCTTATCACGTGCCAGCATGTGTGCACTGCTACGCGAACACATTTGAGCGGGTGTGCTTATCAGTGCCAGCATGTGCGCAGTGCTACGCGAATGCACTTCAGCGGGTGTGCTTATCATGTGCCAGCATCTGCGCAGCACTGCGCGCATACACTTGAGCGGGTATGCTTATCATGTGCCAGCATGTGTGCAGTGCTATGCGAATGCACTTGAGCGGGTGTGCTTATCATGTGCCAGCATGTGTGCTGTGCTGTGCGAATGGACTTGAGCGGGTGTGCTTGCTATGCGACTGCACTTGAGCGGGTGTGCTTATCATGTGCCAGCATGTGTGCAGTGCTGCGCGAATACATTTGAGCGGGTGTGCTTATCATGTGCC